ACAATTGAGTTGCTGGTAGGTGATTCACAAGATGTCTCCTAGTGCAGAGTGTTAATACAGGGAGTCGTTTCAGTCAGGTGCAGTGGCTCATACCTGTAATTCCAACACTCTGGAAGGTGGAGGCAAGGATTGCCTGTGCCCAAGGATTCTGTGATCAGCCTGGGCAACTTGGCAAGATCTCATCTCTACAATAAATAAAGAAACATTAGTCAGGTGTGGAGGCACATGCTTGTAGTTCCAGTTACTTGGAAGGCTGTGGTGGAAGGATCACCTGAGCCCAGCTGGTGGGAGATGCAGTGGCTTTGAGCGTGCCACTACACTCCAGCCTGGACGACAGAGTGAGACTCTGTGGAAGACATATTTCTATTCTTTTTTTGAGTCAGGTTCTCACTCTGTTGCCCAGGCTGGAGTACGGTGGCAGGATCACGGCTCACAGTAACCGCAACCTCCTGAGCTCAGGTGATCCTGCTGCCTCAGTCTCCTGAGTAGCTGGAATTACAAGCACATGCCACCACATCCAGTTAATTTTTTTATTTTTTGTAGCCATGAGGTCTCGCTATGTTGCCTAGGCTGGACTCAAACTCCTGGACTCAATCAATCTTCCTGTCTCAGCCTCCCAAAGTGCTGGGATTACAGGCATGAGCCACCGACCTCAGCACTGTATTTCTATTCTTCTTTTTATTTTTCTTTTAGTCAGAGTCTCACTCTGTTACCCCCAGGCTGAAGTGCAGTGGCATGCTCACAGCTCACCAGAAGCTCGACCTCCACCTTAGCTTCCTGAGTAGCTGGGACTACAAGAGCCGACCACCAAGCCTGTTTTTTTTTTGGAGTTGGAGTCTCACTCCATCGCCCAGGCTGAAGTGCAGTGGCACACTCACGGCCACCCTAGTGTCGACCTGCTGCACTCTGGCAATCCTTCTGCCTCAGCCTTCCAAGTAGCTGGAATGATAGGCAAGCGCTACCATACCCTGCTAATTTTTTCAATTTATTGTAGAGACAAGGTCTCGCCAAGTTGCCCAGGTTGGTTTTGAACCCGTAGGCTCAGGCAATCCACTGGCCTCGGCCTCCCAAAGTGCTGGGATTATAGGCTGAGCCACCGAGCCCGACCAGCTTTTTTTCTTTTTTTGGGTTGGAGTCTCACTCTGTCACCCTGGCTAGAGTACAGTGGAACGCTCATGGCCACCCCAGTGTTGACCTGTTGGGTGTAGGCAACCCTTTCACCTCAGTCTTCCAAGTATCCGGAACTACAGGCATGTGCTACCACGCCTGGATAATTTTTTAAAAATCTTAATTGTAGGGATGAGGTCTTGCCAAGTTGCCCACGTTAGTTCTCAAGCCCGTGGGCTCAGGCAATCCTCTCACCTTGGCCTCCCCAAGTGCTGGGATTACAGGCCTGAGCCAACATGCTGGGCCTTTTTTTTAAGAGATGAAATCTTGCTATTTTGCCCAGAGTGGTCTCAAACTCCTAGGCTCAAGCAATTCTCTCACCTCGGCCTTCCAAAGTGCTGGAATTACAGGTGTGAATCACCTCACCAGGCCTGTATCTCTATTATTAAAGACACCTAGCCCACCACAGAGTCTGTGACAGAAATTATCCCATTGGGCCATTCATCCACCCCATACCTTTATAGAGGAGACCCTGGTTTAGGGGTATTTTTACCATGGTGCTATTTCTGGACAACACACTTCCAACCAGGAACTTAAAATTGTTATTTCTATCACATACTGATGGATTGAGAGTTGGCATAACAAGATGCCTTACCTAGTAAAATTGAAAATATCTACTGCATAAAGCCCAGCAAGCCTACCCCCTGGTGTACATGACGCACACATCTGTATAGGGATACTTATACAACAATGTTCACAGCAACATTGTTAATAGCCAAAAAATGAATGAGACCTATCAATATTGGAATGGATAAATATATCTTGGTATATTCATATAACAGAATACTATATAGAAGTGAGAATGAACAACTATATACAATGTAGACAAATTTCAGAAACAATGCTAAAAAAAGACACAATCAATACAACATGACTCCATTTATATTAAATTCAAACAAAACTCAACTATGTTGTTGAGGAATACAAAGGTGGCAAACGTAAACAAAAAATGTGATAAGAATGAGATTATCACAGAAGTCAGAATAATAACTGTCTCTAAGGTTTGAGAAGCTGTGACCAGGAAGGAACCCACAAAGGGTTCAGGAATACTGGCACTCTTTTATTTCTTGAAGAAGTAGTAGTCATACCAGGGTTCATTTTCTAACTTTCAGTAAATTGTATACAGATCACCTAAATTTATATAGACAGATATTTCACAAACTTTAAAAAAAGTCAGTTTTCTGGCACAGTCCACCAATTCTATCTACATTTTGCCCAAGTCTAAAGAATGAAATCTAACTGCCTTTCAGCAAAGCAAGAATTTAATCTATCATTTCTTCATGCAACCACTTCAGTTTAGTAACAGAAATCACAATCCAACATCATAATTAGAGGGAACAAAAGATGAAGGAAGCAGTTGAAGTGAGTCTGGGAAAAACTTAAAACATCTGGAACAAAATGCAGGGCAACAAAGTAACAGAAACAGGTATTTATGTAACACCTTATTCTGAGGTCAATTCAAAAATAAAAGACCCTCACAAATAAAAGGTGGCCATTTAAAAAGCAGCCAAATAAGTAAATACAAAACAGACAAGAAAGAAGCATGGCACATCAAGTACAAATCACAACTGATTAAATTAAAAGAAAGCATGCAAGCTTAAAGAAAGACATCCTAGATTCTGAAGCTGCCATAAAGAAGGACAGCAACACCCAGAAACCCTGACAAGTTACTTTCCTGGAACAATTCAAAATTATTTTTAAAAAAATTAGAGAATTATTACCAAAAATTACCAAAAAAGTTCAAACACCATTTGATCGTTTATTTGAAAGGGTAACATAAGCTGGAAAGGGGATGAGGAAATGCACAGGTTAAGGGAGAGTTACATAAATAATTCATCACAGAGCAGGAGAAGCAAGACACCTAGTAGGTAAATCTTAGTTGATAAATTTATGGAGACATTATTTATAAACACGATTTCAAAAGATCTCTAACTTTATAATAGTTAGAAACAAAGATAAACCAGATCAAGCAGGCCTAAAAGATGTATCAAAATTATAGGTGCATCCTAGATAAACTCGACTGCTTTTCTTTGAACCATTTAAGTCCCTTGAAAAGCTGACGCCTTACCAAGGTAAAATCTGCAAGTTCCACTGACTTACATTTTAAGAGGAGAAAACTGTCCAAGCAGCAAACTGTGGCTGGATTCAAAGATGCAGTTCTCCACATCTTCAATTTTACAGCCTCTAACAGTTTCTGGCAGACAGCATCCAGAATAATTGACAGGATTTGTAATGTGTCAATATTACCAGGAAAAAACTGCACACACACTTCCAGCATATGAACGATTTTAACTCACCAGTCACCATGTTGCATGTATTTCTGCTGCTTGTCCTGAGTTCTTAAGACTTCTAATATTCTGAAGAAGATAGAATAAAAAGGTTCCTTCCATCCTCAGCCTCTTTTTAACTTTTAGCTTTGTTCTTTAAAAACTACAGTATGTTAGAAATAACTACCCCCATTATTATCAAATTTTATTGTTGATTTTCTCTTTAGCTTCCTTTTCCTTAAGCTTAATGAAGCAAGACAATAAAAAATAAACTAGCAGATGTTTTGTCTTATAAAAAAGAGGTGCGTATTTCTTTAGAACAAACCTAGAATTCCCTTGACACCAGAACACAGTGCTGGGCTGAAAAAAAAAGGTGAAAAGGATTGAAATCTTAAACCAAAAGTGACTTTTACAGTGACACAAGAACAGATTTCAGGAATTTCTGCTAGAGAATTCTGGAATCTATTAAAAAGGCAAAGTACTGATTCTCAGGTTGTTCAATTTTGTTCTAAGCAACTTTTTGGCTGAGGCAACAGCAGGTCCTCCTTATAATACACTAAAGTAAGCTCCTCCCACCCACGCAGAAGAAAAGGCTGCGTTTAAGGATTTAAAGCGGCATTTTAGAGCTCGGAGAGTTTCATATTGTTCACCTAGGAGAATCCCCTAAGGAGCGCACAGAGAAGCGCACAGGGGTGACGTGTATGAATTACGCTTATGGAAGTATTAGTTTCTACGAGACGAAAGCAGGCACTACTGAAGGGCCTTCTAATGTTAACCTTCCCTCCCCGGCACGAAGCACCAGAATAAGGTGAGGAAACCCAAGGGGACTCACTGCCCCGTCGGGCCAACCGGGCCCAGCTTCCGAAGCTGGAACGCACCCTCCTAGAGCACCCACCCCGCATTTGGGCCTTGAGTAACTGCATTTTTCGAAGAGAACAGGCCATCTCGCCCGCCTCGCAGAGGAACGAACCAGACAGCTAGACAGCAAAGCCGCTTGTTTTCTCCCCAGGCATAGGCCACGGATGCCCAGGGACGTCACCACAGCTGGAAGGGTCCAAGCCGCAACCTTCACAGCACAGCTAGCCGCCGGCCCTCAGCTCAGCAGAGACGTCCTGCGAACCCTCGAGACGACACCGCCACCCACCAGCAGGGCGCGCGCCCCAAAACTGGGGGTCGTGGCGGGCGCGCGCCCCGGAAATCCACTCTTGCCCATGAGCCGTAGCTCCAAAAGCCCAGATATCCGGGCAGGGAACGCGCACGTCGGCGGGCACGCGCATCGAGAGGCCGCACAGCGCGCGCGCGCCCGCGAGTAGAAACAGGTTCGGCCGCGCGCCCGCACTAGCGGGCACTCGCGCGCCGCGCCCACCCAAATCCCTGGCCCGCCCCTCCCCCACCCACGGGGCGGGAGCCCGCGAGCCCGGGGACGTTCTAGACTCCGGAGCCGCCCCGAGGTCTCCTGGGCCTAGCGGTAGCGGCCCGCCCGCCCCCACCCGCCGTTGTGTGGAGTGGGGCCTCTGTCCCAGACCCACAGCCTCAGCGAATTCCTGCTCCCACCAGAGCCCTCACCCGGCGACGTCACCGCCGCCGACGCCTCCGCTCTACCCGCCGGCCCCGCCGCACCGCCCGGGACCCCGGTTCTTCTGTCGTCGCTCTAAGACCGACAGGATTTTCTCCTCACAGCTCCCTGGGCGCCATCTTACATTCAACCCTTACAGCCAATGGGTGCCGAATGTTTCTCTCGCGAGACTCGGAGCGGTAGATCCCGCGATATCTGGGGTTGCCTCCCGGCCAGACTTAAAGTGAACGCTTCAGCCGGGGAGGGAGGCCGCGCCTCGGGCTGCTAGACCTAGGCGTGGAGCCCAGAGAGTGGGACGGACCGCCCCGCCCAAGGACGCCCCTCCGTGCGGGGCGGAGCCAGAGCTGGGGCTCGGCCTAGTAGTGGAACTACGGCTGACTGGGGCGCGAAGCTAGCTCCCTGGACCCACCTTCCTCCGCTTGCCTGAGCCTCCTTTGGTTGGGCACCCCTACGCTGGGCGGGGCCCGACCCAGCTCGGCCTCTCGCTTAAGGTGGCCCCCACAAACCTCTGACGTGAACCTGGCGTCCCCTACCGTGCCCCGCCAGGAAAGCCCCTGGGTCGCTCACCTCCTAGAGGAATCAGCGTCTGGGACCCCCCGCCATCTGCTGCCATCTGAGTTGAGCCTTGCGCAGTCAGGTCCACCTTAAAGCGGGCCTCGGGTAGCCTGGTGTTTGTATACAGGGAAAATGTGGAAGGCATTAAAGGTGCAGGCACACGCAAACCCCACTACCCTAGAGGGCAGCCAGCCTGTTTTAGACACCTTCTGACTCCAGGCTTCTGCATTTGCTTCTCCCAACCTGGCAAACTCTCCAAGGTCTTTGGGGATCCCCCTCAGAGGTCACTTCCTGAGAACAGTCTTTTCTGAAGCCCAGGCTGGGTCAGGAACTTTTTTTAGTCTCACGGAGGTCCCCAGCAGACCTCTCCCCCACAGTGCTTAGTCACCAGGCAGACCTCTCCCCCACGGTGAACTTGGAAGGCTATCACAGCATGTATGCCTTATCTCACTGTATTCAGCACACAGTAGGCACTCAATAATTACATGCTGAATGATCATACTGGGTACCAGGCATCTCTTCATCCCCACGCAAGTGGGCACACCTTCTAGGTCCCTCTGGCACAGGGCTCCTAACCATCCCTCCAATCCCTCAGAGTAGGTGCAAAGATTAATCCCACCCAGGTCGCAACCCTTGAGCACAAAGTGTGCCAGTAGTTTCAAAGTTGTCAGTGCCATCTGTTCTGGGGAAGCCCATTCTAACAGACAAAAAGGTATACAAGGCACATCCCCTACACACACAAAGCATGACACGGGGCACTCAGATGCTAGAAGGGCAGAGAGATAACACACAGACTCCAGAAGAATTTAGCTGTTCTTTATTGACATGGAGTTTGGGGTGGTGAGGGTATCCCCAGCCTCCAGGAGGATGAGGTAGGTCCACAGTGCTTCCAGCTCACACCTTTCCTGGGTCTTCCTTCAGTGTGACAGTTCGGTTGAAGACAAGCTAGAGGGCAGAAGGAAAATGACCACCAACCCGTAACCAGACCAAGAATCCTGGGTAGGTTTCACTGTAGACACATTCCCCAATTCCTTCCTCATCTCAGAGGAGCTGAGGGACCAAGAGTTAGGAGACCTAGATCCTCATAACTAATCCCACCCAGGTCCCTAACTCTTGACTTTGAATAAAGGATTGGATGGCTCTAGGCCACAATTTCATACAGATTATAACAATCCCTATGATTGCCCCCCCTACTTTGAGGAATAAAAAGGCAGAGTTCACACAAAATGTTATTCATGAATTTAACCTCAGAGTCAGTTTCCTCATCAGTAGAACATGAATGCCACCTCCCTTATGGGGTGAGGCAATGTAGGCAGAGCACTTGGAATGGCAGCCACTGTCACTGTTTCAAAAAGGGGCAGGTGAGTAAAGTCAAGTACCTGTCCCTGACGGCTATCTGGATCCACAGAGAAGTACCCAAGGCGCTCAAACTGGAATTTGTCAAAAGGTTTTGCCAGGATCACAGAGCAGTCCACTAATGCTGTCTCCACTACTTGTAGTGATGCCTGTAGGCAGGGAACTGTCAGCCATCCAGCCAGGGAGCCCTACAACCCTCACTCTAAACCCCAAGAGCCTACCGGGTTCAGGTCACTTAAGAATCCACCAGGCACCTCAGCAGGATCTTCAGGGTTCTTGTGCTGGAATCTGCAGCCAGAATGAAGGTCAGACCCCTAGTTGGTCAGGCACCGCAGGCAAAACTCATCTTATACCTGCCACAACTCCAGCCCTGTTCACTCACAGTCGCTCATAGAGGCGAATCTCACATATCAGAGGCTGTGATACCCAGTGAATAAAGGCTTTGGGCTTCTCTCCAGCATCTGGATGTCTGCAGGTCACCTCCAGACTTTCTACACAGCCACTGGGGCCCTAGAAATCAAGGGAAGGGGGCAGTTATTAGACCTGGGAACCACTATCAGGACTACAAGCTGCACTTAAATCCTAGTCTCAGCAGGCACTGCAGTAGGAAGGCTGCAGCTGGCTCTTACCTTGACAACCCGCTGCAGTTCAATGATGTAGCCTGTATGCCTCAGGCCTACAGGCTGGCCCCAAGCCAGGCGCTTAAAGCCTGGCTCTGGCTCCTAGAGATAGGAAGTGGGATAAACACAAGAGGCTGCAAGGGTCAAACAAGTATGAGAGGCTTCTCCCCCATCCCATGTCTGGCAGGGGTTGGTTCATCTGAAGCAGAAAATAGATGGACTGACAGAGAGGATAAGGAGCAGAAAGAATCCCAGGAACAGACTCAGCAGCAACAGGACCCTCTACCCTCCCCCCACATTCACCTCCTTGAAGTCAGTCCTCTCAATGAAGACAGTGGGTGCAAAGGGAACTGTATGGGAGCCCTTGGTCTCATCAGCTGGGAAGTTGGGCACTTGGATGTCCAAGGACTAGAGCAAGAGACAGGTATCTGAGTCACACCAGGCACTAAGACCCTCATGCCCAGGGCCAGTTCAAGTATACCCCCACCTACCACCCCCCCCAACCATACACACAAATATGTTGAGGCAGGCCCACCTTGGCATCAGGAAAGTTGGTGATGATGACCCGCAGTGACTCCAGCACAGCCATGGCTCGTGGGGCTGTGTCATTCAGCACATCACGCACACAGGCTTCTAGAAGATGTGGCTCCATTGTGGTCTGTGCCACTGTCACCCCCACCTGGCAGGAAAGTCCAGCATCAGTCACAGTCACAATTATAAACTGCTACACTTAGTCTCCATCTGCTCACCCAGGCTACTGGGCTATACCCGGGCACAGAAGTTGTTGACGGCCTCAGGCGGGAAGCCCCGACGACGCAGTGCCGTGAGTGTAAAGAGCCGTGGGTCATCCCAGTCCCTGTTGATGAGAAGGTAGTGGGAAGGCCTCTGGCAGCACGTCACTAGTACCACCTTTGATGAGCCAAATATCCACACCTACCGCACAGCACCAGCTGCTACAAGCTGGAGGATCTTTCTCTTAGAGACAACAGCATAGTGCAGGTTGAGGCGGCCATATTCCCACTGCACAGGACAATAGACATCCAGCACATTGCACAGCCAGAAGTAGGAAGAGCGTCTGGGGTGGGAAAGTAGAGTTAGGATTGGCCAGTTCTAGACCCAGGGAGAGACCATAGGAAGGGTCGTTGGCCCTACCATCTCATAGGCCCAGCTCCCTCACCTGGCCTGGAATTCCTTGGTGCAGAGTGAGTGAGTGATGTGCTCGATGGAGTCACAAAGGCAGTGTGTGTAGTCGTAGGTGGGGTAGATGCACCTGTGGGGCATAAGCAATGGCTCTACCATCTAGCCCCATGCTGTCCTACCCCATGGCCCATGGCCCTGCTCCAGAGCCCCATCATCCCACCCAAAGCACACACCCACCATCTGTCCCCCGTGCGGTGGTGTGGTGTATACTTGACTCGATAGGCCACAGGATCCATCTTGCCATCCTCCATCACCAACTTCATCCGTAGTGTGGCCTCACCCTCTGAAAACTTGCCCTTGCGCATTGCCTGAGGGGAACAAGGGCTCAGGCTGCCTCTAAGCACAAGGGCACCTCATTCTCAGCACCTTGGCCCACCCAACCAGATGCTTCTCCAGGACCTCACCTCAAACAGCAGAAGTGACTCCTCCATGGGACGGTCCCTCCAGGGCGAGGGCAGAGAGTTATGGCCTTTGAGCTCTTCTCCTCGCTGGTGGCAAACATAAGCCTTACCCCTGTGAGGAAGGTTTTTGAGAGCCCAGCAAGGCTGTGACCTGGTCAGCCTGCCTGGCTCTATATCATGGTCCAGATCTCACCTGTGGATGAGCTCCACAGCCCAAACATATAGCTGGTCAAAATAGTCAGAGGCATATGTCACCTTGTAAGGTGTGTAACCTGGGACAGAATGAGATAAGTATGAGCAGTCAGCCAGAAACACCCAATGGCAGGCCATGGCCTATGGAGAGGCCCACTAACCACCATCCCTGCCCAGACCTTGCCCAGTTCATACCCAGCCAGGCCACCATATCACAGATAGCAGTGAAGAACTTTGCTTCCTCCTTCTCAGGGTTGGTGTCATCAAAGCGCAGAAAACAGATACCATTGTTGGCCTAGGAAAGTCACAGCATCTGTGAGCTACCACATAATCCATCAGCCCCACAGTGCTGCTCATCAAAGCAGGACATTCTCAGCAGTCTCCCATGTCAGAATTAAAAATGCTTTCAAGAGTTTCTCTTGCCAGGCAAGGTGGCTCATGCCTATAATCCTAGCACTTTGGGAGGCAGAGAAAAGAGGACCGCCTGAGCCCAGGGATTCAAGACCAGCCTGGGCAATTTGGCAAGACCTCATCTCCACAATAAATCAAAAAATTAACTGGGCATGGTGGTGCATGCCTGTGGTTCCAGCTACTTAGAAGGCTGAGGTGAAATGATTGCCTGAGCCCGGCAGGTTGAGATTGTGGTGGCCGTGAGCATGCCACTGCACTCCAGCCTGGGCGACAGAGTGAGATTCCAACTAAAAAAAAAAAAAAGTTTCTCTCATCTTCCTTATTTAAATGCCCTATTAAAGGCATCTCTTACACCAAATTGGAACAGTCAGCATAGCCTATTCCCAAGCTGAGGGGTTACATTGGCAATTCCCCCAAATTTGAACTCATTGACTCCTTCAGAATTTTTTTTCCCAATACACTTATTTTTTTTCCCAATACACTTATTAGAGTCCTAGGTATCTGTCACACGTGTGGTACCTTTCCAGGGCCTCTGCCTACCTAGATACATTACTGGGAGCAAAAGGAAAGGCAGGGACACCCTCCTGGCATCCAGTCATTAGAGCGGCAAATGGTCATCTTGCTTGCCAGGTCTCTAGACGCATGCTCACCTTTGCATAGCCA